ACTCACTCACTCCATCCACAAGGTTAGGTTTAGTAGCCCGACGATACATGTACATGTAGACTTGAATTAATCTACTTTTACAATACACCAAATATAACATACTTATAAAAATACAAATTTATTAAATGTACACCTTCCCAAGCAACACATTGAGTTGAAGCAGTAGAAAAAATCCTACGGCTGAAGCACGATGTGTTTATCAAAACCCATACACAATGAAAGCCAACGACATAGCCAAGGCTTTATGGCAACGCAACGTAATGTAACGTAACGTAAAGTAACGCACGTCGCCTCATAACGCAACACTTTGTATCACAGATCACCGTCCTCTCCTCTCCCCTTCTCGCCTCGCATCGAATCGCCCCGCGTCGCACCTCATATTAAAATACAAGCTTCTGATTGGTTAAGGAACGGGCAATAATTGTCCATGTATCCTTATGTACCCCGCCGAGAAATAAATCGGAACTCACCACAGGTAACTTGCATATCTCGCATAAGCTGAGCTGAAATTAACCGATTTGTATCCCAAACAATTGGACAAAGGGAAGTAACTAGCTTCGTTTGCGTCGTCTGCTAGCTGTCAAATGGCTGAATCAAAGCGTTTGACTCAGTGAAACTTCGGACATATATTTCGGGTCTGTATGAGTGAATGTCGGTGAGATATATTCGTTGCCAACCGATCCCCCTGGGGCATGTGGTGTGATGTACCCCTCGAGATCGGTCGACAACTTGTATTGTGCACCATCGCCTGCAAAAGCATGTACATAGTTGGTACCAGGAACGTATCTGATGTAAATATTCTGAAATGGTGTTCATTTTGTATTTAATATCTAAAAAAGTCAATTTAGTGAGGAGTATATTATGCGTTGAGATATTTTGTTCACCATTCATTAGCTCCGGTACAGTAAATCTTCAAAAAACAACACATTTTGAATTATTTGCTTCTAAAATTGCCAACTCAAAAAAAAAAGAATATGAGCACAGTTATTCACATTTACGTATATATAGATGGCAAACCTGCGACAGAAAACATGTTAATTTCAAAAGTGACAGATGTTTGTTATATTTCCCTATCAAATGTCTCAAACAATTATTAACAAAAGTCATGAACGTATTCCATTTTATGGTGCCTTGTTGTTACTGGACTAGAAAAATACAAAATAAATAGCATTTTATATTGCTGTAATAGAAGCTCTAATTGCAGTTATTAATATGCATGACTTCTTTCAGTCGGTACCATCTGTTGACAGCTATCTGTTAGCAGCACACACAGCAAACTGGCGTGATAAAACAAAGAGTGTATCGTTATAGTTATGGTAAAAGTAAAACATACATGGCTTTCTGGATAATACGTTTAATACATGACACATTGTCAATACAAAAACGTCAGCAAAGACGACCTTTTAGCCATTCTCAAGACCAGGCGTCCACATATTTCACACATTGCCTCTCTTATGTAGTGGTGCAAAAGAATTTAGTCTTATACATATGGCAGAATCAACGATCAATCAATTTTCGTGACCCTAAATATGTGTTGATACTTCTGGTTATATTTTTGAAGATTTTGCAAACACGAAGTACTGTTTAAGTGTGTTAGGTAGAGAGAATTAACGTTTCAGGGTTTTACATTTGTAATGAAATAATTTAATTTTCCGGTAGAAACTACACAAAAAGTATATAATGAATAGAATATTCCACGTGTCGATTGAAATATCTCCTTTCCCCTCGTCATTCGATGAGAGAAACTTGATATTTCACTCGACACATGAAATATCCTCTACATATACTGAACCACAAAAGAAACGTCACCCCAAGTAACATTGCATGAAAAGTTTAAATATCTGGGTAATTTTTATCAAAGTTTCTAATATTTAACATTACAAATGAAATTTGATGATAAAAAAACAAAGCAGATGACAACAAAACCGATCGCCCAAACGCATCACGGCAACGGCCATGGTAACCCGATGCACGTGAGTTCCGTGCACATTGAAATGCACATGCGTTCCCCATATGTTACCCTTTAAAAATCCACTCAGATCGGATAACATTCATTCGTTATTGAATTGCTACCACATGCCAAGATTGACAAGAAATCAGCGACACCAAGCCCTTGGACGATTGCAAGCTGGACAAACCGCCCGGCAAGTAGACATTGCATTTCAAGTCCACGTAAGGACCATATACAGGCTCCAGCAACGGTACGAGACCACCAACACTACAGATGACCGACCACGTAGTGGAAAACCAAAGGTTACCACCCGACGTCAGGATAGTCAGATTGTGCGACAGCATCTTCAAGATCGCTTTGTTACTGCTGCGGAAACTGCTCGACAGACCATGGGGACACACCAGCGATACATTAGCGAAACACCGTGCGTCGACGATTGACGAGAAAGACACCTCCACTGTCACAGGCCACACCGAGGACCCATTCTGGCACCACGTCATCGCCGGGACCATCTTCAGTGGGCAATACAGCACAGCAATGGCGCCACCAGCAGTAGAGAAGAGTCCTCTTCTCAGACGAGAGCCGTTACTGTATCTCAACAGCAGATGGCAGAGAGAGAGAGTCTGACGAAGCCGTGGGGAACATTATTCGGATGCTTGGGTAGTTGAGAGAGAGTCGTGGGGTGGTCCGAGCATCATGGTGGGGGGTGGAACTGGTCTTGCACAGAGGGTCGGCCCTGTGATCTTCCAGAACATCGGTCCAGGGAGAGGCAATGGTGTCACAGCAGCTCGAAAGCAAGAAAAGACTTCCTCCAGCAGAATGGCATCAGAACCATGCAGTGGCCTGCCCCCAGTCCCGATTTAAATCCCATTGAGCACCTGTGGGACGAGATTCAAAGACGGCTGAATGACGTACGACCAAGACCGACAACTGCAGATGAACTGCATCAGGCGTTCCTCAGAGTGTGGGCTCAAGTGCCTATGGCCTTCATCAACAGCCTCATCCATTCCATGTTGCACGGCAGTCATCAATGCACATGGCGGACACACGAGATACTGACTTGTGATGCCATTTTCTCAGAGACTAGTGTTGTGTTTCACTTTAAGAACATTTAACACTTTAATTTCAACCTTGATGATAAGTTTTGCGAAGTTTCATCATTTTGATATGTCTCAAAGTATGTTTACAGTGTTTGGACAAATAAAGTTTCTCATATATCCATCCATGGTGACGTTTCTTTTGCGGTTCAGTATATTTGAAGGCTATAGTAACCTGTGATTTAAGAGGCCTCGCCCAAAATCGTTACAGGTGTTATGGCGACACTCACAAATGCTTGACAGTGTTTTTCATTTTGGCCACCTTGGTAAATACATCATTAAATAATACATACATACTTAAATGTACGACATTGTGCCACTCCGGGATACAGGTACAATGTGCCACTCTCGAGTATATGTACAGGGTACACTTCTAACCAGCCACGGGGTGCAGATCCACCCAGTATTCTAGTCATTTCGAGCGGATCGGGTGATTATGTACTGTGACTTCGTTGATTGCGTGTCATCATACCCCGATGGAGTGGGACGTTGTTCGTTCAACCACTGGTTTATCAAGTACAGACTCGATCATTTTAAAGGCACCCGTGATATAGTTGGACCATTCATGTGCGGCGTTAAACACTATTCATTCACTATTTATGCCAAATATAAAACGCTATTTTTTCATTCAGATCGAAGAAGACGTAACACCTGCCTGTCCATCCCGTATGTGAGAACAATATCTTAACTACATCGACGGAGCGGATTGTGTCATCGACAATTTGTTTGTTTGTTTGTTGTTTACCGCCGCACTCAGCAATATTCAAGCTATATGAAAGCGGTCTGTAAATAATCGAGTCTGGACCAGACAATCCAGTGATTAATATCATGAGCATCAATCCACGCAATTGGGATCGATGACATGCATCAACCAAGTCAGCGAGCCTGACCACCCGATCCCGTTAGTCGCCTCATACGACAAGCATAGTCGCCTTTTACGGCAAGCATTGGTTGCTGAAGACCTATTCTACCCCGGGTCTTCAGGGGCTTATATCATAGCGAGAAACTAATATCAAACATTGTAGACCTATTCTACCCCGGATCTTCACGGGTCGTCATCGACAATAATACATAGGGCACAGCGGAACTGACCAGTTTCGCGAATTCAAAACGTCAACACTAAAGAATAACCGGTCTCGTGATGCCGAAAATAGTCATGTAAAACATGGCATTTGTTTACATAAAATCAGTGATGGCACCAGGTGTTGCAAAAACGTAAGTGTGTCCTAAATTCTATTACCGGAAGCACCCGCTTCTCACAAAATTTTGTTAAGAAGTTCTCGGTTCGCCCCCATTATGTTTCTAGGTTTGTCAGCACCATATCCGTGCTCGTGGGTTTCACCGAAGTGGTAAACGTCTGAGACCTGCATCACTTCGGGCTTTCCTCCCACATTAAGCTGACACGCCGTGATATAACTGGAATACTGGTAAAAGCGGCGTTAAACACAACTCACTCACTCACTGTTAAAGAAGTAAGGGCATCTGTCTTCATTTTACAATGATTCATGATTGTTGGGTGAAACATTTTCTGCTTCCACATTGTTTTTAACATTCACCTGACACATGAATACCTATAAGGCATAATAGTTTAACATATAATGCGATTATGAATATTTGATTGTAATCGCCTTATATGATAAGCCCATACGGCACACACTTTGCGCTTGGTAAGCTTTACATTATTACAACGACTATTCTCAATCTGACATAATGATTACTTTATAGAACACTGTATTACAGTACCTTTAGAACACCCGGTGTCATCACTGGTTTTCAGTGTGTGTGTGTGTGTGTGTGTGTGTGTGTGTGTGTGTGTGTGTGTGTGTGTGTGTGTGTGTGTGTGTGTGTGTGTGTGTGTGTGTGTGTGTGTGTGTGTGTGTGTGTGTATTTTTTGTTTCTTTCCTTTTTTTAGGGGGGGGGGGGGGGGGGGGGGGTTGTGTGGCCACCATCAAACATGGTTGTATACTTTCTTTTACCCGGCAGTTTAATATCAAATTACGCGGTATACTTATTCTTATTGGAAAGCATCCAAACGAGGAAAATCTTTAAACGGGGAGAGAAAGAAGTCAAATGATAATGTGATGATTAATTTATGATAATTTTAATCTGTGATAATAGTATTGTCATTTCTGTGTATAATGTGCAATACATAGGACATCAGTGCAGGCAGATTCTCTGACATTTTATATCAACATTTCTCACATTCAGCAATACTGACTGTAACCTGTCTTAGTTTATACATTGTAAACCAGTCGTGTTCACCGATATCCATTCAATCTCACATGGAACGTTCTTCACTTCTGAAGTCCAAAGAACCCATTGGGATCGGGTACATGATGCAATTCAACAATTCTGTTTCCAGTTGTCATATATCACACTAAAGTTGTCTCTTTACAAAAATCCAGTCACCCTCAGAGTGATATATCCTCTATTAATGACCTACCAATGCAGTGTTTAAAATCAACGGTGGTTCACTCTATCACCCATATGTTCGACACGGCACATCCGGGTTACTTCTTGACGATCTTGTCTTTTTCACACGAGGTACGTTAATATTCAATGTAACCCCATTCAAATGTGGCTGTGGTAAACTAAGCCACGAGTCACATCTGTGCCATCTTGTCTTATTCTCTCGGGTGACCATCTCTGTGGTCTAGCGACCAAGCGTCTGTTCAGAGTGCGGACGATCGGTGGTTCGATTCCCGGCCATGTCATACTGAGAGAAGTTAAAATGTGGTATTTGTGGTTACCCTGCCTGGTCGACTCAGTGTCAGTATGCATGTGGGGTATCCATGTTAAACTGCGGCTTGCATTTCTGTGGACTAGCAATGAAAATCCGACATAATACCGGTCAGCTACAAGCAGTCACACACACGTGCATGCACGTCGCTATATAAGTGCAGTAATCTTGAACGCGACGTTGCCCCCATATCGCATCACCCCACACCACAGGGAAACGTAAGTGTTCGTATAACCCCTTTCAAAATTTGGTGTCGATAGTTGATCCACGATCTGTCTCAGTGTCATCTGTGATTATGGACAAGAGTAGTGTCGTCTGGAACTGGCGCAACTCTGTTAGTTTTGGCGGGAAGGAAGCAGACGACAACGCCGATGACCATAACGATGGTAGACAACACAGATATACCGATGAGACCTCCGCATGACACTCTCATCAACCGACCAACCTGAAAGAAGACATAATATATCAGTTTGTTTTGCATGCGTACATACGACAATTCTAATGGTATATCAAGCTATCTAGAGGATATTCAGTGAGGCTACCTAATTCCACTCATCACACTTTGGCAATTGCAATCTTTTCGTCATAATCATCATAACATGTGATCGCATAGATACATCGCCATGAGGTGAAATATAATCCTCTCATGGGGATTCCGGGATAGAATTGGTTCCCAGCAACATATGCTTGTCTTGCGAATCACCCTACCCAATCATATTAATAACTGGATTGTCTGGCCCGGACTCTGCTATTTATAGGTTGCCGTCATACAGCTGGAATAAAATTGAGTGCGGCGTTAAACGAAATAAGATCCTTAATAATTTCATTGAAAATATGTTATTTGCATGATCAACGATTTATTCATGAATACTTCAAGAATAGTGTATGTTGATAAGCTGATCAGTTGCAGGGCATTGACGCTCCACCAGTTTTGTATAAACCACAGTCTATAAACATACAATTTAATATGTTTATGCTGGTTGATTTAGGGTACAAAATATCCACTTTAGATGAGGTTTTTTTACCAGAAAAAAAACCTAAAAGCACGAAATAAAGAATAAGTTTTTCATACATAGACGGAGTCGAGTTAACTAGAATCGACTGAACTTAAACCCGACTCTAGTTCATTTGTACACGCTTATCTCGACGTGTGCTTATTTCGAAGTTCCCCGAGGCAAAGGGTTCATTGTGACTTTGGATAATTTTCTTTATGTGGGTTATTCGATTGTTACCTTTGACCATTCGATATAACAACAGTTTAGCGCAGTATAATATATACGTAAAGATCGAACTATTTGGAGGTATCTATATAAACAAGTTATGAAGCCGTCGGGACAAGTGGAGTGCCGATGTTGGATATAATTCATACGTGAAATGAACAACATAACACTGTTATGTGTCAATCACGGTAAGCTGTTACATTACGTCAAATATTATGAAACTGACAAGGATGATTACTGCATGCCACACAATACTCCAGTACCTTTCTGAACACCTTGACATCAATGTCAAATATTACAGGTAATATAGGATAACCAACACATCTAGATTAACTAAATTAAAATGATATTTACATATACACTCTTCAAAAAAAGAAACGCACAGGTAGTATGTCCATTGAACCTGACCACACACAAAATCCGGTATATATCTTGAATATATGTCATTGGGAAATGTTGGTGGCCTGATATTCGACAAACGGTGCGTCAAAACGCAGCCATTGTCGATTTGCAACGTCTTAAACGGCATTGTTGTCACACTTGTTCAAAAATGTCATGGAGGAAAACAGTGAAGCAAAATGCACGTGCAAGTTATGGCATTCGTAACTCGTGGTAGTGGCTATGAAAAAGCAAGCATAAGCCAATAATTTGTCATTCAATTGTCAACATTTTTCAAGTTCGAAAATGCCGATCGGAACATCGCCATAGGACGTATCCAAGGAGGGGGATCGCAGTCTTCTGTTGCACGCCACTTCAACGTCCACCACAGCACCATTTGCCGCCTTTGTGACCGATACACATAGTTCAATTCCACTGTAGACCGTCCGAAAACCGGCCGACGAAAAGTAACCACCCCTGCGCAGGATCGCTACATTCGAATGTTCCACCTACGTCATCGCAATGCCACTGCTACGAGATTGCATGACTCCCCTGCTTTGAGGAGGATATCGGACCAGACTGTCAGGAACCATCTTCGCGAGGCTGGAATCCGACCCAGAAGACCAGTTATCGTCCCTGTTACAGATCCATCGACAGCGACGCTTGCGTTGGAGCCATACCTTACGGCCTTGGAAACTGGAGACGAGTGTGGTTTAGCGATGAATCACGATTTCTTCTTCACCGGCGAGATGAAAGACAACGTGTTTATCGTCGTCAAAATGAGCGTTTTGCCCCACATTGTCTAAGCGAATTCGACAGTTTCGGTGGCGGTAGTGTCATTGTGTGGGGGGACCTGGAGATCTGACGTGGTTGTGGTTCAGGAACATTTGACAGCAAATCGCTACATGAATCAAATTCTTCAAACTCACCATCTTCCAATCGTTGACCGCCAGAGGGAGCTGTTACAACAAGACAACGCCCCAACGCACACAGCTCGTGTCACGGTAGACTACCTACATGATGCCAACATCAACGACTTGGTCATGCGAGATACTGAGTTCAGCGCAACCTTGTGGCCTTATGTGACATGACAATGAACAGTTTTCAATGCCTTTGTACGACGACAACATGTTACTATCGAGCTACGAAATTTCATATTTGTATCGATCATATTAAATTAAATATATCGACTTTATTAGGTACAGTACATTTACTAAAAATCGACCTGTGCGTTTCATTTTTTTGAAGAGTGTATGTATCCGTCAAAACAAATGAAATCATGACTATAACAAATGAGATCTCAGAGCGTTCTTCACAATGAGATGAGTGTACTGTGTGTTTGGATGCTAGAAAAGAGCGAAACGTCGCCTTATCCCAGTGAGTGAGTGAGTGAGTGAATGAATTTGAATTAACGCTGCTTTAAACATTATTTCACTGTTATCAGGGCGTGTCAGCTTGATGAGGGAGGAAAGTCTGACGTGATGCAGACCTCAGGCGTGTACCACGACCGCGGATATGGTGCTCACAATCATAGGCAGGGTGAATCTGAGTTTCGAAGCCACCATCATAGGTTCCTTGCACGCCAAAGGCATGCAACTCTGCTAAGCGAATGTCAGCGCCTGAGACGATGGGCTGTCCTCGTCTTTTTCGAAGTATCCGATTTCGAGTTATAAGGGGCAAACAAAGATAGGAATCTGCCACGAGCAGAAGTAATATCGCCTAAAGCGAAGTTCAAATTAATGTGCTTCCACTGTAAGTATGAATATCGACCCTATTGTGGTAATTACTGGTGACCAGTAAACACAGCATCTTCACGGGAGTCTATATTGGTTAGGAATCGAGTGTTAAAGGGCGTAATTGATTCGTTGCTATGCAACTCCTAATGAGTCTCTTCTTCAGTGGTAGTTTATTTATTTCAGTTATGTAGTCCTCTTTCTTGTCTTAGTTAATAAGCAACTGTGAATTGTTTTAATCCATCATTCATTCTGCTTTAAAAAAAACTAATTCTGTTATCACAGGTGTATCCTGAGGCTGGCGGAAATGCGTTCTACAAATCCTAAGCCACGACATGTCATTTAATGTTCTATTACATGAAGTTGATTTATGTGAATCGGGAATAATCAAGAAAGTGTGGCATCCTCAAGGCTGAAGTGTGAACAATATTTCAGGGCAATCAGTACTTTTTTTAGTATATTCAGATAAAAAACATCCGGTTGTTATATTAGTTCTCGGAATGACAAGATTATCTGTCTTTATTATTATTATTTATAATTTGATTTTCCTTCCCTAAAACGTTGCTGTGGTTATTACGAACGAGTTAGTTCGAAGGTCATTTTGAGTGAGTGAGTGAGTAAGTAACTAAGTGACGTGTAGAACTATTCGGCGTGATAAGGGAAGTCCACATGGTTCACGTTACCCTCTCTGTCATTTTGAAAATTAACTGCGACATACTATATAAAAGCTGTAATTGGTTCAGGAAACAACTTGCTTTTGTAAGCCACACGTAGGCCAAATAATTGTTATCACTCACTGCAGGACCAAATCAAACTTATTACACTGGGTCATTATACATTAAATATTCGATTTTCACACCGCCCTCTATAATAATAATAATAATAATAATTATTATTATTATTATTATTATTATTATTATTATTATTATTATTATTATTATAATAATAGTGAAAGCTCATTGTCCTATAGTCTTATTATTACCCCGGCCAATGAATCAGTGTGCACGCGATTTTCAATCTAAGCTCCATGGGGAGTATACAACCCAAGCTGCCTGTGAGGCGCTAGAAGGTTAACAGCCACATTACCATCTCACCCTACCGGGTACCCACTTACTGCCGGGGTGGACAGAAGCATAATTCGAATAAAGTCACTTGCCTAATGAAACACCACATGTGCTGCATAAGCTTCAGTGTTGGGCAGGACGAAGCCCTAGAAACTCTCAAGAAGTGATACACATAAGTGATACACATAAAGAAAGAGAATGTATGGATGTCAACTTCTCTATTATGAGGAACACAACGTTTCGGAGTAAATGTTTACGCCTTCATTCACCTGATGAAGGAGTAAGCATATACTCCGAAACGTTGTGTTCCTCACAATAAAGAAGTTGACATCCATAAATTCTCTTCCTAAGGAGTCAAGCTGCAGAACACGGACACCCATCAACCTACTCTCCGCCATCAAATTTGGTTAACGTCACCTGATTTGAGACTAGTGAGTTGTTCTCTGTGCTCAGTACCATGTGTAAGAGAGGACTTTGGTTTGCAGTGACCACTGACAATTTACACTGAATACAATGCTTTTGGTCACATATAATGATACAGATAAATACTTACTAAACATAGTTGAAGTTGCAGTTTGCCTTATTTGTAGAAATCACACCAATATAGAGCGGTTGGGAAAATGTAGATAAATTTTAACTATTCTCTGATACCCGTGAAGATCCGGGTTAGAATAGGTCTTCAGCAACCCATACTTGCCGTAAAAGGTGACTATGCTTGTCGTAAGAGGCGACTATCGGGATCGGGTGGTCAGGCTCGCTGACTTGGTTGATCAATGTCATCGTATCCCAATAGCGTGGATTATGGATGCTCATGATGTCAATCACTGGATTGTCTGGTCCAGACTGGATTATTTGCAGACCGCCGTCATATAGATGGAATATTGCTGAGTGCGGCGTTAAACAACAAACAAACATCATTCTCTGGTGATGGCCTTTGGATCTGGTTCGCCCAATCAGTAAATGAAAACAATGTAAAAACGCGTAGCATATAGCCTAATAGGTTCGGTTGGTAACGACGAGGAAAAGGGCAAACGTAATAGACGCGAGAAG